TATATAAATAAACATATAATTAAAAATTATATATTCTACAATGCTGGAAACCACCCGTAAGCTCTCTCTCAGGTTACATATTTAATATTCAGTGCTGCATTCTATGTAACTTCTTCAGCTCTGTCCTTGACATCACTAATAATCTCTTAGAAGCATTTCATCTTTTCTTCATTTCCATTTTGTTTTCAGTGATAATTTTAATCATTTCTATATTGAATTTGATTATTTTTTAATGTTACCTTGATGGTTTCTGACAGTCTCCTTTTTCTTGTTCACATTTCAATTCCCTTTAAGTATAGTTCTACAGACTTTCATATATTTTAATGGTAGAAATTTCTTGTCTTCATACACTTCAATTGCTTATTGTTTCTGCTCACTTGTCTTCACTGGTTCTTATTTTAACAATCTTAACAGTAGAAGCATATTTATCTGACATTAATCTATGGCATTCAAGAGAGGCCTGCATTGAGAGTGAAGAACTTCAAGACTCCATAGTTTTTCCAACTGTCTCCAGTCTTACCACCAAATTCATGCGGCCAAGAATTGTCTGTTGCACTGTGGATTGCTAAACACTCTCATGGTTTGGGTTCCTGGGGAACATGCTCTCAGGACAGCCACAACGTACCCTCTAGAACACAATTCTGATTTTCTCTTACTTTCTCCACAAATTAGCAACTATAAGGCTGTTCCCATCCTGTTCTTCCAAGAGAAAATAATATATGTGTATATATAATCTACAAATGTACCCTCTTCGGGGTTTTGTTTTTGTTCCTAACCCAAAACTTTAAGAAATAGCGTAGATATTAGAATTATATACAGAAAGTTTACCCTCATTCAGTTTGAAGAACACATAATATTTTAAATTGGAAATTCCCAGACTGACAAACTGGCTTGCACAGTGCATGGTCCTATACTTGTTCATTATACACATCTAGATGTGTATAAGAGACAGCAACAGGACTGCCCCATCACATGGGTTCCCTCACGAGCGGCACCTCATGCCTTTCTTCTGGGACTACTTCCCACCTTTGTTGGCTATAATTCAAAAAAGATAACTTATTGGAAAACTCATAGTCCTTTTTTTTTTATTTTTCCACTTGTAAATATATTTTCCTCCATCTCAGTATTTAATGAATGGGGATCATAATTCTCACTAAATGGTTATTTTTGATCCTCTTTCTTGACTTTCATTGATCTTTTCAGTCTATTCCACCAGGAGAGATTGATCTTTTCTTTGGGACTGCTTTTAGAATCTTCTCTTTGTCACTTATGCTCCACAATCTCACTATAATAT